TTTGAAACCATCAATTCTGGATTTCACAAAGCAAAGAAGGTACATTTTGTCCAGTGTGTGTTTTTTCACTTTTCACTCCTACTACTCTTGCCTGTGGTGGAAAGGTTGTTTTAATAATGATGAAATTTCAGATCTTTATTTCTAGAATGATGAAATATCATCATCATGAATCATTAAGATCTACATACAGTCTTGAATTCAGAGTTTTCTTTCTCTTAGACTGGTTGCCAAAAGTGAATATAACAAACTCATCCGAACTTAGCTCAACAATTTCTCATTCAAAGCCATTAAGCATTAAACTACTTTTCAACAACTCCTCATACCTGTATGTTTGAAATTTTTCACAAAATCGCAGATACTACACTCTGATCCTAAGCAGATGTGTCAATCCATACAAAGACCAACATTTTTGATGGGTGCTATGCATTAATTCTTGTTGACTCCAATCCACAGTGGGTATGGTGATTTTCTAAGTGTAGCTTAGATGTGGCACAAGGCCAAAAATATGGAGCACCCAGTGAGGATTGAGCTCACTACTCGGTTGTAATTGATCAAGCGAGACAAGCTTGCTAATCATTACACCACATTGGGGTACCCCAATCTGCAGTGGGTATGACTGTAAAATCATCCCCCTCCCCAAATTTATAGACACAACATACAGATGCATGCTGGGATTTCTTCCTAGCCAATAAGACAGTCTACTTCATGGTCTCACCAGATTTACTTCTGTTCTGCCTTGTCTTGAAGCTTGAATGCTGCAATCACTTGTCTGCATTCCCTTTCATGCACTAACAGCATTCTTAGTTTGTGAACTATTGATTTGTCTTGCATATAATGTTTGCTTGCTTTATATTATTTCTTTGCCCTGGTGTTTCTTGGGCATTTCTGCCAATTACTTTTAACCATGGCCAATCACTCTATAATTCCTGAAATGCCTTTATAAAGACAAGAATATGTTATCAGAATACAGAACAAAGAATGAAGGATTTAATGTCATAAAAAAAGAATTATGATACTAACACTTATGAAAAATGTTAATAACAATAAAATAATTTCCAAGAGACAAAAACTCAACAAATCGATAAGAAAGTTAGTTAATAGGGAGGATAAAACATTGGCCAAAATTGATCAAATATTGACCTAAAATACCCAGACTTCATGGTCTATGCAAAATATGATATTAAATATTGCTGCTTTGTTGCCCTGGCTATATATCTTGAGATTCTCAGCAAAATTCAAAGAAGGATTTGTAATATTATTGGTCTTGATCTGGCATCTTGACTTTAGTCTGCTGGTCTGGATCAACAGTGGGAAATATGACTGCAAAAAGACCCCCTCCACAAATTTATAGACCAAACATATAGATGCATACTGGCTTTCTTCCTAGCCCCAAAGATAGGCCACTTCTAAGTCTCACCAGATTTACTTCTGTCTTGTCTTGAAGCTTGAATGCTGCAATCACTCATCTGCGTCTCCTTTCGTACACTAACAGCATTCTTAGTTTGTGAACTTTTTGCCTTATTACTGTCACTTTGCCTTGCATATATTGTTTGCTCAATAGGATTTTTGTTGTGTTCTTTTCTTTCTCTTCAGATATAGTTTAGTAATTAATTTTAACTCGGCACCATTATTAAATTGCAACAACCATTATCCATATCAGACACCTTCCAAAGGATATGGAATTCAAATTTAAATCTTGTAGTTGGCTATTTCTCCCCACCTCTGATTTTATGCTGCTTACTTAATCATTGTAGAATATACAAATGACTTGAACATTATGATGATAAAAAAGGAATAATGATGAAATGAAAGATAAACTGGTCAAAAATTAATTTCTTCCATGACTTATCAAAATAGCATATTATATTTTCCTGTTATTGTATATGTTAAAAATATATAAAAATAAAAAAGGTTTTGAAATATTAAGATATTAAACAAAAAAAAAAAAAAAAAAAAAGAGAAAAAAGCAATTGTAAATATTTGTGTATCGTGTATTTATCAACCCCATAGAGAGGGGAAGGGAAATGAATGCGCTGGTCCATTTGATTTATTCAATCCACATAGGAATTGCTGTAAAAACATTCTCCTCCCCAAATCTATAGACAAATGATACAGATGCATTCTGATTTCTTCCTAGCCAATAAGATAGTTCTGTTCTTTCTCATCTTGAAGTCACAATGCTGTGATTGCTTGTCTGTATCCCCTTTTGTGTGTTAACAGCATCCTTAGTTTGTGAACTTTTTGCCATGTTTTTTTCTTTCTCTTGTTTATTATTGCAAAAATTGTCAATTCTGTTTGTTAGACATTCCATTTGGAAGTCATGTATTGTTTTGTATTTTTGATCATTTTGTGAAAAAATGAAATATATGATACTAATGCTTATGAAAAAAGTTAATAACCATTAAATAATTTCCAAGAGACAAAAACTCAACAAATCGATAAGAAAGTTAGTTAATAGGGAGGATAAAACATTGGTCAAAATTGATCAAATATTGACCTAAAATACCCAGACTTCATGGTCTATGCAAAATATGATATTAAATATTGCTGCTTTGTTGCCTTTATATATCTTGAGATTCTCAGCAAAATTCAAAGAAGGATTTGTAATATTATTGGTCTTGATCTGGCATCTTGACTTCTTGGTCTGGATCAAAAGTGAGAATTTACTACAAAAACACCCTCCACAAATTTATAGACAAAATTACAGATGCATACTGCCAATAAGATAGTTCTGTTCTATCTTGAAGCCAGAACGCTGCCTTGTCTGCATCCCTTTTGTGCACTAACAGCATTCTTATTTTGTGAATTTTTGCCTTTATTACTGTTGCTTGGCCTTGCATTATTGTTTGTTTGCTTTATATTATTTTTTACCTGTTCTTTTCTTCCCCTTTGTTTTTTTGAAAATTTTGTCAATTCTGTTTCTTGAGCATTTCTGCCAATTACTTTTAACCATGGCCAATCACTCTATAATTCCTAAAATGCCTTTATAAAGACAAGAATATGTTATCAGAATACAGAACAAAGAATGAAGGATTTAATGTCATAAAAAAAAAAAAAAAATATAGTAAACAGCAACTTTTTGTTCCTAAGAAAAACACCATTGTTACTCATTTTCTTCAAATATTAACAGCAGTCTATTACTGTTATTTTAATATGTGTCTCTTTAATGTTTGGTATTTCACATTCATTTTTTTTTTTTATCTTTTCATTGTCACATTGGGGCACCCAAGGTTATGGACAATGTCATACTGATGATATTTTTAAAATGTCCTTTTACCACTGACATTTCAATTATGCAATATTTGAACAATTTATATTGGCACTGCATGAAGCATGATCTTGCTTAAATTCATTTAAAATTAATTCAGTATTTAACACATCAGTGTTGTGACAGCTGCAATATTTACTTTTAAAAAAAAAAAAAATCTTTCTAAACATTTATGAACCATTAACAATATGCACCTGTGCATGTTGTCACATGTTGTATATTGCCTCTGATGTCAACTGTTTATCCATTCTATGGAATTATCTAACTGCTAGACTCAGTTTCTACATTGTGGCACAGGGCTGAGGACAATTATTTTGTTGGCTGTATTTCTTTTGATGACTGGGATTTCAATATGGTTGTCTTTTTATTTACATAGAATTTTTAATTTTATTTTTTTTCTTATAATTCTAAATTTTCAATTTCATTTAGTCCAAGATCAAATCCTGAAGAGTTTCCTCCCCCATTTCTTTTTCATCTACCATCTTTATTAACTATAAAACATTTTTCTTTTTCCATTTCTTTATTAAAAAAAACAAAAAAAACAAAAACAAAAAAAAAAACAGTGTGTTCCATTAATGGCTATGATTAAAATTTTGTAATTATTTTAAAAAATATTTTTCTACATAAAAAAAAAAAAAATTCCACTCGTCATTTTTCTTACCTGAATTTGCAAAGATTTATTTGTCTAAATGTGCGACATCAATAATTCATGAGACGACCCTAGCAACTATGATACACAATGCTCAAACTTAGTACAATGGCTCGAACTCCAGGACACTACATGGTGCCAAGGACCTCTCTGATTTCAAAACATTCACCCATGGGTGTATCACCTACGACGCTTTAGACAATGATTACAAGAATGAAAATCTACATGGTGCATCAATAAGAAAAGTACAACTCAGTACGGTGGAGTAATTGATAAGATAAGTAGTAGCTCAGATTGAGGAATCGGAGAGCCAAGTTCAAATTCCAGTTGAATACATTACATTCACTTATGCTAATACCCTTGGGAAAGGTATGAATCCTCTTATCCCCCCAGCTATGGATAAATAGCAGGACAGACCAGATTCTATAGCCTTGTATGGCAACTGGTCTACCGCAGAAAGAAATGGCAGACTACTGACTGATGATGAAGGCAGGCATAGAAAAATATTTTTAATGCAAAAATATTAAACAATTAAAGGGCAATAACTCTAAATAATTTTATCAAATATTTATCTCGCTATTTGTCAAATTTTCCTAATTATGCACGTAAAAACAAAGGAAAATTTCTAAAAAAATTAAAATGCATAAAAAATACAGTAACATTAAAAGTTTTAAATTCTCACTTATTTTTTAAGCACATCTATATATAAAAAAAATCAGTACGAACGAAATATTTTAATTTCAGAAAGTACTTTCGTTTTAAAAACTAAAACAAAAATGTACATTTCGAGCAACAAAAATTATTTTGTTTGAAATGATTTCAAATTGACTGTAAGATTTATTATTTTTATTAAAATATACAAAGTGTAAAATAAGATAGATTAAAAAAAATAATAGTTTGGCTATCTTCCATGAAAATGTAGCAATACCAAAATTACTGAGAAACAACCAAACAAAAAATTTAAAATTCTTTACTTTTAAAAAAAAAAAAAAAAAAAAAAAATAACATTGAATTGTTAGTATTAAAAAATAAAATAAAAGCAAACTGTAAAAAAAAAGTTTACAATTTTTGTGTAAAACTTACAAGTCTTGGAGTCCTGCCCTTCTGACAGAAGCAGAAACGGCCTTGATAGATGTAAGAATCGCATTTAATAATTGCGACAAAATGCCAGTGGCTTCGGGGTGTTTTTTCTGCTCAGTTAATACAAAACGTGTTAAAGTCATATAATTGGTTTCCATTGTGATCGACAGAGATAAAAATTTATATACAAGGCGAACAAAATACGACGTTAACTGAAGCAGAAATTCCAGTCGGACTAATAAAAAGTTTGAATGTCACACGAAAACAAATGACCTTCACCTACGTAAATAGGCTTAATCTACTTTTGGTGCCATAACTTTGATTTCGATAGTGGTTAACATGGTGAACGTACGCATTTGAAAATAAACACTCCGACGGCGTTTTAGAAGCAAAGTTGGTGGGTTGTTTGTTAATCAAAACAATCAATTACTTTTCTTTCTGTCGTATCGTAAATAAATACTATTTATTTATTAAATAGTTTTATTTGGGTTACACATCAAATATTTAAATTTTAAATAACATCATGATAAAAATGACCTGCGACACTATTTTTTTTTTATTTTTATTTATTTAAAAATTAAATACATTTTTTCTATGATTTATTTGAACACAAAGAAACTGAAGAAAAAGTTTTATTTTCACTTCCTGTCTCATATTTTCCCCAGATTTTAAGAAATAAATCAAGCAAAGACAGATGCGGTTTTCCACTGCTTCAAATATGCCCGTACCCCAGCCAGTTGTTTTTTCTTTCAGTAACTTACTTTTTAAACTTATGCCCTAATTTTTGACGTCCACAAAATTTAACCTACCCTGACCCAATCTTATCCAATAGAAAATAAAAATGTAGGTTAAAAATTAAATAAAAGTGAGATATGGTCATGTGTTTCTCTACCACTGTAGAACTCGACTATCGTCACTACTACTTACGTAACACTTAAAACGGGGAAGGGAAGATTGTATTGCGTCGATCTTTCAAGTGGGAATCCTGTCCGTCTTTAAAGAAAAAAAATATTCGCAATTTCACTTTGGATCAGACAATATTTTCCAGATAACGATTAATTCATTTTTCCTATTTTTTCTTAAGTATACTGTATAATTGACATTGAAGTCAATCAACTTTCTATCGAAATTTATTTTAATATTGTAATTTAATTATTAGCCAAACTGCTGCTACATTCAATAATTTATTCGTTTACTATGGCTTATAAACCCTTTGAGGTTATTTAAAGCGAGATATTTTTAAATTGTAAGAATTTTTTTAAATGTCTTTTTTTAGTAATACGAGTCTTACTAATTTTAACAGATCTCATAGCTGGTCGGTGCAAGGCGTCGGAGAAGAGGAGGATCCATATCTTTTCCACTGGTATTTGTGCGTAAGTGAATAACGAACCCAGCTAGATTTTTCTAAGCCATTTACTTACATCAGCCGTACATTCAAGCTTATAGCACACCTGGTATTCTCAAGCGGCCATCCATCTAGGCACTGACCAGGCTTAACGTTGCTTAATTTCAGTGACGAAACGAAATGTGGCCATAGTAAGCCCAAAATCTAATAGATTTCGTAATACTACTAAAATACCTAGTCAACAAGAGTCTATCATACATTTGTTACGTTCGTGATGAGTAAAGTGATTTGTAATAAAAGTTAAAGACAAAAAGGAACACACATTTAACTCAACGAGATATGTTGTCGTATGTATCAGCAGTCTGTAACGTCTGACAACTAAAGGACATAAATGGGTTAGTGATTTGTTAGGCTTGAACACTAATAATATTTTATGGTTATATAATTTATTTCTTTGGGTTTGTAATAAAAGACCTAACTCCTCAGACCTACAAATTCAAAAATTCTTGCTCTGTCTATGACAGAGCTCTACCTGGATTACAATCCTCTTGGAAATTAAGTGAACATTGAAGTCAACACTCAGAGGCTCCGAGTGTTGACTTCAATGTTCACTTTTATTTACATACGCTCTATCTCTGATATTGAGCACTTTATGATATAAATATAGCACACCTTAAAACTATATTGACCACTAATTTAATTATTATCAATCTAGCAATTATACAACACTCTAGTAACCCAAATTTCGAACGTGTTAGAAAGGAGTAAAAAATTTAGAAAAATAATTAAGAAATTCTTTGGTCTTCTCTCTTAATAACAAACATTTTTTGACGATAAAACTTTGTTTCTAAGTTTGGGGCCTTTTTCATCATGCGCTCTAAAAATGCTGTTTTTTTTTTTTTTAGCGAAAAAGTGCAAGTACCTAAGAGAGGAAGAAATTTTAAAAATTCCATAATTTTTGCATAAAGTCCATTAAAAAAAATTAAAAAATGAAAATTGAAAACATCACGAAGAGATGCATAAAGTGTGTGAGTGAATGAATCAATTTGTAAATGTAATGTTTTCATTTTGTTTTTTTTCCCTCTTAAATTGTAGTTTCCACATTTTATAACAAAAATTGGATTATAACAAAATAAACCGGAAATTCCTCTATTTTTTATTTACTTTTTTAACTATTGCTTTAAAAATAAAAATAATTAAAAAAAAAAAACTAGCTACAATTTGCCAATTTTGCTGTTTTACACTAACACAGTACAAAGCCTAAAAAGAATTCAGCGAATGTTCAACATAATAGCCAGAGAGATATTGTCTTGTCACCAACCACACAAGAGGTGTGTCTTTGATAAAAACATTTAATTGGTTGACTCGTCGTGGGCATGGGGCAGTAAAGTCTGAAGGACAAATACAGAATCTACACACAAGAAGAGAATATATCAAAATGTCAATTATCACGTGAGCCAGTCACCCGTGATTTAGAAGAAAGTCTTGAGAAACTAGCGACTCTTGAAGCGAACTGATTCTTTTTTCTATTATTGACTGAAAGGTTGAGTTATACAATAGACACTGCTACCAGAAATCATTTTTTATATTACTATAAATGACTCCAAGTCATGAATATCAAAATAAAAAAAAACATTTTCCATTACATTTATAAAAGTTAATAGGGGATCCAGTTTCTGTTTGCTATGTAAAATCATTGTTAACTGACCCTCCCCCGTGGAAACCAAAATAAAACATGCTCATATCACATGGTTTTTTAAAATGTAAAGAAATTAAAAAAAAAAGTCTTGAAATTCGTAATCTGAATTTGTTTTAAAAGCAATCCAGATTACAATCTATTTATTTTTATTAAAGAATTGATGGGTTTGTTTTTTTACGGTTTAATCATTTCAAAGTTATTTAAAGCCAAAAATTTTTTTAAATTGTAAGATTTAGAACCTATTGCAGGTACATTTGTTAAACTCTGACAAGAACATGTTTAGTTTACTTTTTGAAAGCTACCTGTGACATTCCTGATTACTAATTATGATAGGATAAGGAACAAATAAATAGGAAACATTTATCGACCTAAAAACTTCACTTTTTATTTTTTTTATGACATGAGAAAGAAAAAGAAAGACAAAAAATATTTTGGTATCTTTAATTTTTGTTCAATTTCCATTGGTTAAGCATACTTCACGAACATCTGTCGTGTCAAGTAGCATTTGTCTGTAATTCATGTGTATATGTATATCATAATTCTAGTTTGTCTATGTGGGATTACGTTACGATGATAATGTGTACTTATTTGTGTGTGTGTGTGTGTGTGTAGTAAGAATTTTTTATTTATCTTTGATGGTTGTCTGCATGTGAATTTGGGGATGTTTTGTGTGAGGGTTAAAAAAATTACACAACACTGATTGTAGCAGCAGTCGTAGTTAGACATTACATTCTTTAAGCATAAATTTTTATAAAAGTTATACTAAAATTATAAAAGTGTTTTCTATAGTTTATAGAAAATTTTTTATAAAAATAGATTCATTTAACAGCAATTTAAGAAAAATAAAAAACATTACTATGCCTGTTATAGTGTATGGGTTGACACTTAGGATAGTCCTTCAAACCAATTTGCTAGTGTAATGAGTTCATGCCTTATTGGGGCTCTACTATTGTGGCCTTTTACCAGACTAGGATTAATTCACAAAACAAAAAAATAAGGAAGAAAGGAAGCCATATACAATAAAGAAGTTTTATGCAAAATGGTGGCAAAAATTATGCTATTTAAAATCAGAAATATAAAGCTGAAATTTCTGGGGTTCATAATGAGGAAAAAAGGCATGGAGAATTTGACACTCACAGGATATACTGAAGGTAAGAATGACAGAGGAAAACAGTGAATAATATACCTAACGAGCATGTTTAAATGGATGGCAGAACAAGGATTGAGAGGGATAGGATCATAAAAATTCAAGACGTGAAATTAGTAAATAACAAACATTTCAAATATGAATCAATTATAGCACATTTAGTATAGGAGATAAAGAAACTGAATATAGAATAGGCTGTAGTAGAGGTAGTTTCTCTCAACACCACAAATTGCCACAAAACCAAAAGATTAACCTAAAAACTCGATTCATGTTATTAAATAACTTTGTCAACTCAAATTTGATCAGAAGAATCTAAACTGTCTGCTGTATACAACTGCTTTCTCGGATTGATGATTAAAAATGGCTTTGATCAAGTGAAGCCTGTGAATCTTGGTGAAGGCCACGCTTCTTCACCCCTTGTGGTCTGGCGCGACAGAATCACACACAAAGAACAGTACCAGATTACAGAAACAAATTTCAACAGCAGCAACAGTTAAAATGAATATCACATGCAACTTCAAGAAAAAGTAATGATATAATCAAGAGGTTGACATTCCACACTACTTCAAACAAAAGGTTAGGAAGGAAAGCCCCATTAATACAAGAAAGAGTGATGACAGCTACTGAACTTGAGAAACCTATTTTCCTGAAAAATTGTTTTAAGAGAAAGATTTTATAAAATTCAACTGACAGTGGCACTGGCTGCTTGGTCAATGAATGCTGAATGTTTCCTTATAAGGAAATGGTTTATATTATCATTACCATTAACTGATTATTATCATCTGCTACTCTGTGATAAGAGTATCTTTTAGTTTTACTCTTTCTACACTACTTCAAACAAAAGGTAAGGAAGGAAACCCCTATCAATATGGAAAGAGCCATAACAGCTACTGGACTTGAGAAACCTATTTCCCTGAAAAATTGTTTTAAGAGAAAAATTTTGTAAATTTCAACTGACAGTAATACT